ACTTTTCACATATTTTCTTTTATGTTCTGCAGGAATTTTATGTCGTGGATCATCAAGACGATAGATTTTTATTACATTCTGTCAGTAAGTGAGTAAAAAAGAAAAGTACAACAAATTAGTTTTCTGTTAATTCCAGCATTACTACCTTTCAGAGAAACAAGAGATCAGTTAGGTAAAATTCCAAAGAAAAGTGGACTTGGATTTTGCGTAACTGATCTCTTGTTTCTCTACAAGGTAGTAATACTGAAATTAACAGAAAACTAATTTGTTGTACTTTTCTTTTTTACTCACTTACTGACAGAATGTAATAAAAATCTATCATCTTGATGATCCACGACATAAAATTCCTGCAGAACATAAAAGAAAATATGTGAAAAGTACAGACAATCTTATGGTACAACAGACCAAAAATTGTAATAACAGAACAATCGACATTATGTATATGTGTAGAACGTTGTCCGAGACATCAAAGAAAAGTGGACTTGGATACTACGTATGACAAATAAATTCATTAGAAAAATAGATCTAATTGTTGTGACAGATCACTCTCATACTTATCATCAGAAATAGTGCACTAGTCATTCTAGTGCATCTCTCATGAAATTTTCCATCATATTCTTCACTCGAGATTTTTACTCAAATCTTTTTAATTTACGAGCATTAAATTCTATTCATTTCATAACAATAATCTCATGCAAAAGTAACAGCGATCAAAAAATGTACACAAAAATGATCGAAAATATATTAAAGAAAATACGTATAAAAATTAAGAAATTTTATCACTGCACAACAGGGTAGACGTCTACATGGACTGTAGTGAAACGAAAAAACTTATCTACACCGACAAAGGCTGAAGTCGAGATCTCCAAGATACAATAATAAAGAGACATGTTAAGAAATACATAAGTTATTGATCCATCAGTAATACTGTATCATGCTTGACTTAGTAACTATGCGAAAATGGTATTTCTAAATTGACGTCGACAATAAACGATAGATACTTGAAATCATCGACGCGTTTGGAAAATAGTAACATGTACAGGAGATATTCAAAGTAGTAATAGAAAATAGTAGAGTGTCGTTCGTTCCTGGCTTGTATCTTCAGAAATGTTATCTGTTTTTCTTTCTCGATCTTTTTGAGCAGCCATTGATTTCTTATTTTTCCTACGAATTGATCTGAAATGTAGAAAAAAATGTATAGTTAATAAATTCGATCGAAATATAAATGACATACCGTTGTTATTCTCACATTAGTTTACATTGAAGCTAAAAATGCATGTTAGACAATAAGCTGTTTAGTTATGCTCAACTTATTAAATGGTTTGACTCTTTAATATTCCTGATGAAAAACTAAAATCAGACATTCAAAATAAATAACTCTTTCAAAAGTAAGTCGATGGCAAAAAATATGATTGGATAGACATAAATAATTCTTAGTCCACCTCAAGCAAACATCACCTATGGGAAAAATCTAGATACATTTCGTCTGGAATCGGGCGATGCATGACTAGTTGCCATCTAGAGTATTAGTTGGAAAAGGGACTTTTAACTAGATGTGTCTGCACGTACAACTAGCAATAGTTAAATCGATCGATTATCGGGCGATAAATCGATAGTTGCAACTAGAAGAAATCTAGTAATCGCTCGATTTCCACTGTCGTTACCCAATAGTTGCAATCGAGTAAAAATCAAGTAATCTAGATGAATCGGGTGATACTGGATTTTTTTTTGACGCTTAGGATGTCGCAGATAGTTTATTTTTCATAGATAAATTTTCTGCTATGATGTTAATGGACCTGTATCTGACATACAACGAAATACTTCTAAATCAGTCGACATCATTATAAGACCGGTAGAAGTGAGGCAGCAATCATCTGTTTCTGTCCTGTTTCTAGTGTTTTCACGCATCTGATCCATCTAGAGATACTCTTTTGTAGCGTAATCAACGAGTTACGTATAACATTTAAGACCAATCAAGCATCAGTAAAAAAAGTTAAACTATGTTTATTCTTTCTGGGGAAAAGAACAAAATTTTCTAATTTTACTTCTCATTCTTTTTTTTAAAACTACAGCGTTTCACATCTGCTATAGTTTATTATTGAAGATATTACAATCTACAGAAAATTCATGTGCCCTTGTACTTACAAAATCTATTTCAGGATTTTACAATAGAGAAAATGATGTCTTTCAGAAAAAGATTAGTAGATGATAAAAAGAATTCTGAAATACATCCACCGTTTACACCTACGGTCAGATCCTCTATTCTTATTGAAAATGAGTTTTCCGACTAGATATTAGGTGCACTTATTCTTGTTCCGAGCTTTCGTTTCTGTTTCATTTTGACAAATTCAAATATTTATTAAGTGCAAAACGCATTGATCCCATGTCTCTCTCTGGTTTAAGCTGACAAAAATTGTTTGAACTATTAGTATAAAATCATATTTGTATTGCAACATAGCGTATGTTGTGTCTTCTATTGAAGCAATTATTCGATGTCATTGGCATAAGTATAAGAATTCATGTCCAAGTACTTTTGGTCAGAATTGATTTTAGATATCATAATTAGTAGTCAGAAAGCAGGACAAGTTCCAGTTGACTCGAGTCGCATTTTTCTATGGTTTATATTCGATCCTGAGGTAATAGACTCGATAAATTTGATAAACTGACTCAAGTCACTTTCGAAGACCTAGAAAAAGAATAGAAACTAATGTTGGATATATGAATCGGTAAGAAAACTATTCTTGGAAAATGCTACGAGATAACTGGATCCAACTCGGATCGGACTCACATTCAACTGGCGACTCATCCATTTCTGCGTGTAATAATGTATAAATAAATAATTTATTTATTGTTGATAGTACCAGTTAGAGTAAATGACGAACTATGATATGTTATTGTAGACCTGATCTGTTCGATTCTTTTGAAAGCTAATCAGTTTATTCAATAAACAACATATACACAGAAAATACTGCGTTCGTTGTAGTTCAGACAAAGAAATGTGAGTCTAACAGAGATTCAAACATGGTCAATAAAATCAACGAGAAGAACAACAAAATTGAAAGACAAGAACATGGTCAAAAAAAAAGTCAGATAAATAGAGCTGAGAATGTTCACTATACAAATCAAGATAAAATAATGTTAATACTCATAAACTGTAAATAGAAAACAGACTTATACTGTTTAAAAACTTGGATAATTGCACATGGATATTGAATAAAAACCAAGATGTTAAATATTTAAAATATTATCTTGATGTTGTCAATTGTGATGTCTCATGATCTGATCCATAAACAACTTCTTCGTCACTGTCGTTGATCATTGAAAATGCGGGATTATCTCTAAATTGAGAATCGACTGCAGCATTTTTTGCTGGAGAATAAACAAATGCCATTGTATATAAATATAAATTTAATAAACCATAAAATGATAAAAATTCTAAAAATTAAAACATATTTTTATTGATAAAACGATGTATAATAAAAATTTGAAATTTACCAGCCGAATTTTTATATCTTGTAGCTAATTCAGGAACAAAATTTTCATTAATAATTCCTGAGCCAAATCTTAGTGTTGTTATTGATATTGATACAGTAACAACACATAACATGAGAAGAGTGGTAAATTTTAGACGAACATCTACCAATAAAATAGAAAAAGAAACATTATTAATTGACACATTTTAATATAATTATAATTACTTACCAAAATACGGCATATTTCTTAATTCACCAAATGCTCGAATAATTAAAAATAACAAGTATAAAACATATGCAATACCAGTGATATAAAATATTATTCGAACGGTCTTAAATTAAACAAGATAATTTATTTATAAATTTTTAGATAATTAACTATCATTCAAACTCACTGTAAATTGTGTAATATCAATTGATAAATTATATGTTGGATCTTTCATTTCATTAAATGTTCTCCATGATGATAAAACAATAGCAAATATCCATAGAAGACCAACGAGTATTAATTTTGGTAAATAAAATGGTAGAAAACGACGTACAGTCTATTAATCAAAATAAAAATAAAAAAGCGAATATAATTTATGAATATTTTTAATAATTTTAAAGAAAAAAAAACCCTTTTACTTGTCTAACACCATGATAAACGCTTAACCAAAATAACATCAGTGTACAGAGAAATGTTGCTTGCAATAATCCATCTAATATTGATGGAAAAGCACTATCAATCAAAAATGTTAACGGATAGAATGGATCTAAAAAATATAAGATTTATTATTATCGACTAGAAAACATGAATATCACATCTTCTTCTTCTTTTTTTCTACCATTATAAAATACTAAAAGTACTAATAGTAAAACCATCCATCGTTGTTCTAATGACCAGTCTAATACTGAAAAACGTCTCATCGATTTTGTGAATAAACACTAAATAAAAATATACAAGATAAATATAAGACTATTAATTATAGAATACATACTGTTGCTACAATTGTGGTAATAAGAAACACAAAACGAAACAATAACTCAAATTGAGTATATTTGGTATTGAATGTATTTAACTAGAAAGAGATAAATGAAAGATATAAACTAAATTATTGATTAAAAATTGAAAATTATTTTAAATAACTTACATAAAACTGAAATCCTGTTATTTGTTTATAAACATCATTTTCTATACCAATAAATTTAATTTTAAAAATATAACTATTTTCAGCAAGAAAATTTAAATGAAGAAGGATTATTTGATTGCACACCTGAATAAAATAAATAATTTATTTTAATGTGATTAGAAAGTAAATATTTATTATAAATTTGTGTATTGTAGCTATGAAATTCAGTTACATACATATGCACGTAAATACTTGAAAGGTTAGTGAGAAAAATGGTCAAAACAAGTAAAAAATTATAGAAAAAAAACCGGATATTCTTTAAATAAGTTGATAAAGTTGTTTAAGAGAATGTCAAATTCTTTCATCATTTCACGGTTACTACTTAATTCAAACAATTTTTTCACTTTTCTATTACATTATCTACGATTTATATAGCAATTTCTGTATGATTATTTCACAATATTATTTCTACATATTTAATCCACGCGATGTTCTTCTTTTTCTGTATTAGAACAAAAATAATCAGTTAGAGTCATAAATTTTCTGATTTCAATTCAAAAAATTTAACATAATATTTTATTCACATTGATTTTTTCATATATATGACACAGATGACTAGATCAAAAAACTTGTCGTTCAGTTCTACAATAACGATATCATTAAAGTATTATTCGAGTATGGTGTTTAATGTGACGGATGTTTGCTCATATACTAGTTGTAATTTATTTTTTAAAAAATAAATTATATTCTATTGCGAATCTATAACGAGAACGCATAAAAGTCATAGATAGATATCAGTTTTTGAAATACAAAAAATATCTATCAATTTATCATTTTATTTTAAAAAATATCTATTCATTTATCATTTTAAAATACGAAAAAAATTGAACCTTGTGAAAAAATAAACCATATGACACACGTACAGATTTTCATCTTTAGTTCATTAATGGAAAAGAGATGATGATAAATTCATTTTTCGTCCTATAATATGTAGAAACAATTTGAAAAAAAAGCACGTCAAACAGCTAAAAAAAATACCTAAAAGCTGAACACATTTAAGCGAAATTCACACATTAAACGATAGAGAAAGATAAAATTAGTTAATAAACAATTCAACTGTCTATTAATAATTTCTAAAAAGGAATAAGTTTGTACAATAAGAAGCAAATCATAGAACACGAAAATATCCCATATTTTGCTTTTTCAATCTTGAAGAAGCGAAAATGTCACATCAAGTTTTAATAGAAATATTTCTCGATGAAACTTTTTTACAATATTAATCGATAACACACAATGTTAACTAACAACATCACATAATAGTATATCTAGATTTATTCATGCATAACATATTGCATATAAAGACACAAATGAACAGAAGAATAGTAGATTAATGAACGCTATTCATATTGATTAAACAAGTCTATATCATTCAGGTTGATTAAGCGTGCATCTAGTTCTAAATCACAAAAAGTCAAAATTATAATATTTCTCTCTTAAAAAAGATATTTGACCGTTGTATCATGTACAAACTGAGTCTTTCACGTAAACACTTCTACAAAAATGTATTTTCTATTTTCTAAGACAACATACGTAGAGTAGTATAACTAAACTGCTCTAAACTCTCTCGTCACATCTTATGTTGGCTACTACATAAATCTAATAGAAGATACTTGTGAAACGCGAATTAACAATCAAGAAAATGTCGAATTTCTATAATTCATCGTATTTTGTAATAGAAATGCATTAATAATTTTTTTCTATTTATCACACATATATTTATTCTTAAATTCAGGCAAATATAACTCGACCACACATGAGAACAAACAAATATAGAAGACGACAACAGCAATACAAAAACGTACGAAAAAAATTACCAGTTACTTTTTCTCATGCGTTGTTCTTCCAATACAACATATAAAAATTCTATCTGAGCAACAGAAAAAAAAGAAATTTACACAACAACTATGTAAACACATACATGTAAACATAAACAACACAATAAATAATAAATAACGCGAGATCAATAGGACAAGCACGACACATAAAAAAAGTGTAAAAAAGATTGCAGTTATCCGTTATAAAAGTAGAAAAAAAGGAAATTGGTGGCTTTTTTACTGTTCTTGAGCAATTAAGTAACGAGAGACCACTGTTAGAAAAAGTATTTGTGCATTTTTAATACACAAAATGTAAATACGATTAAGTACATATGTTTATGGAGATAGAGAATAGCATTAGTATTGAAAATTAATCGATTGGTGGTTTGTGATGATGATGGTAGTGAAGATAATTGTTCCATTGGACAAGATTACTTGTCGATCTCTCTTTCTTTTCAAGAAACATATCTGTATCCATGTCTTTGTGAAAGGATACAGTAAAAAAAAATTGATCATTCGACGACGGGTTTTTGAAGAAGACGATGGCATATTTTAGATCTCACAGACCAATCTTTTCGTGGAAAAACGATTGTCAAATATACAAAACACACATGTTGACTTGTATAACTGACATGGAATAAAGAGTCTGTTCTAAATTATTATATCTATAGCAAACGGCGAACGACACCCGAGCCTGGCGGAGCGTAAGGACCAACACCGAGTCCTCGATCGATTCCTGAACCTATCGAGCCAGGATAGGGATATGGGCCTACCCGACCATATCTGCCAACACCAAGACCTCGTTCAGCTCTACCTAACAATCCACCACCATATCCTCCGGCACCGACCGGTGAATAACCAAGACCTCGGGCATACGGTAAACCCCCACCGTAGTAAGGTTCATCCAACGATGTTGTCCATCCAAATCCAACAGGTTGACCTTGTATGCCGATTCCTCCAATTCCAGCACCAGGTAAACCATATCCGAGCAGACCTGGCCCGGATGGACCCACTCCAACTCCATAATCGTTTATCGTTGTAGTAATACCAAATCCAATTGGCACTGCAGGTATGCCTAATCCACCAAGACCCAACCCTCCTAGACCACCACCTAGTCCTCCGAGTCCACCCAGGCCTCCAAATCCACCCAGGCCTCCAAGTCCACCCAGACCTCCAAGTCCACCCATACCGCCAACATTACAGCAGGAACCACCAAATCCACCACCGAGTCCACCATAACTACCCATTCCTCCTCCAATACTAAAATAGAACAATTTAACAAATATTAAACAACAGGATCAGAAATTGAAAAACACTTTGTTATAATTCCACTTAATCTGCGCTTCTGATATTTCAAAATATTTAATCCGTCTCGATGAGAGCGAATTCAATGCTTTCAAAAATAGTAAGTGTGCACAATACCAGATGTGAATAAACCACAAACTGTGTTCTATATAAAACCATAATGGTCTAAAGAGTTTAATTCCATGGGAATACTTATAGAACCTCAGACAAGATTGTACATTCATTCAGCAAATTAGAGACATTCTCAAAGTATTGGTTAAAACAGATGATTAGGATACATACATACACATTAGGATACAGCTACAAATGACTTTTTTTCTCTGATAAATCGTGCTAGAAAAACATTCTCAATCGAAACAGAAACCTATTGAATCTCGCTTGTCTATAGCGATTAGTATACGACTGTTTGAGATAAAACATATCTTCACAGTTAACCATGTATTTCTGGTAAAAGACAATTACAAAAGAGGAAATTTATTTACCCGCCAAATCCGCCACCGCCGCCGAAGCCTCCTCCTCCATACATTCCCAATCCACCGCCTCCTAGCATTCCACTAGATCCTAAACCACCAAAGCCTCCATAGCTACCCAAACCCCTGCAAATAAGAACAAAATTGATGGTAAACTATTCTGAAAGAAAGATAGACTTTCACTACTATAACAAACTGCTCAAGCTAAATTTGACAAACTGTATTGCAAGCAGAGTGTAATGAAATGACTTTACGGTGACAATTTCAACTGATTTAAATAGTGCTCAATTACTGTCAATATTATTACGATAAAACTGAAATTGTTATAATAAGTTTGCGCTTTGCGAAATTGACTCGAGCATATGTACTACAACCGAGATTACGGAAATAAAAACAAGCTTCGCGAGCTATTTAATTTCATATAAATAAATTCATAACTATCAAAGTACAAAATATTTTAGCTTACCCTCCTCCCATTCCGCCTATCATAGCGCATGGATTCATTGATGGCATGGGCTGACACATTGGTTGAGACATTGGGAACGACATGGGCTGACACATTGGTTGAGGCATTGGGAACGACATGGGCTGACACATTGGTTGAGGCATTGGGAACGGCATTTGACAAGATTGTTGAGGGACAGGGACAGGATAAGGCTGAGGAACTGGAATACATTGTGGAGGACCAGGAACGGGTACAGGGCATGGTACTTGTTGCGGGACTGGGATAGGAATACACTAAAATAATACATTATCATGTAAAACTTAATACTAAAGGTAACGTTGTAGGGTCAAAAAAAATAACCAGTGTAAAATTTTACATGAAAGATTGTAGACTTTTAAAATATTTACTGATCTACAGTGAAACATACTGAAAAGTGTGAGTATAAAAGTTGTTCAGAATGTGATTCGAAATTTAAAGATTAAGTTTTACGAGTTTCGAAAAATCCTCGTGCATATTTCAAAGAATCACATTCAATAACTTTTTTTCTAAACAGCACTGTGCTCAGAAAGTAAACTACTAGGAGAATTTGTTCTAATTTTTCATCTATTGTAGATGTGTGCGATTAGAAATAACTGAAAACGAGTGGCTCACTCGAGAGAAAAAAGAAGGGATGGAAAAATAAAGAATTTTTTGTGGTTAAAAGCGATAAGTCTTCTGAATTTCACTCAGTGGACTTAAAGAAGAATTAAACTCGATCTTTAATTTCGACACAGTCTGAAAAACTATCATACTCGCGCTTTTTTTCAAAATGCTTCGTTCGAACGAAATTGGTTCAAGGCTTGTTTCAAAATTCTTTTGGCTTTAAAATTCCATTGAAAACAAGAAACTGAAATTTTTTACGAACGATGAACCTTTTCTGTGTACACAGTTTAATGTTCTCTATCGAATGACACAAAAATTCATCTATTCTCAATTCATCCATCCTATCCCAATTCATCTACACACGGTTCGATAAAACCAGGTAGGAAAACTACCTTTTAAAAGGAGCAATTTAGAGTATAATGCTCACACTTCTCTAGTTAAAAAGATAAAATGAAAATCACTGTACCTGAGGTGGACCCTGCACTGGAACAGGTACTGGACAAGGCTGAGGCACAGGCACACACTAAAATCAATAGTATTCATATATATCAAACTTAATAATTACATGACATTAATATCATCAGTTCGCTGATCAAACTTGAAATGTAATAGCAGTGTGAGCTCAAGCCCTTTAAACTACTAAAGTTTTGTATGACTTTCTCGAGTTAGAGATAACCTCTAAGATTGAACCTGATAGTTCTAATTATCATGATGTTATGGTATCATGATGTAATGATCATCTGTGTTGATCGTTTATACATACCCTAACTTGACCTGGACATGGGACAGGTACAGGAACAGGACATGGTTGTGGACAAGGTACCGGACATGGCACGGGAACTGGGCATGGTTGAGGAACCGGAATGCAACTGATATATTAGAAAATGAAAAAAGATTATCGAAATTAAATGTCAAGTTAGTACCGATAAAATTATTTTTTAAGGTGCGAGTTGGCAGCAGTTGCTATCTACTGTACATTCTTCGTATATATCCTTTATTTGCTGTTCACAGAATCGTTATTATAAATCCTTTATAGCTCTTCAGTTCATTGAGGCAGTTGCCTTGTGATATTTAGGAAACCGAATATTATCATTGACAAAAACCGAAAGAAGCTCAATAGCATGATTAAATGGAATAAAATCAACTTACACAGGTTGACACACAACTCTTTCAACAGGGACTGGTACTGGTACCGGACATGGCTGTGGAACAGGTATGCACTAAAATCAGAACATTATCATTATTTTCACCTAACAGGAACAATGTACCTATTATATCGTAACAGGCAGCATTTTGTTATTTGTTTTATTTTATTACTACTGAGGCTAAATTCCTGCCATAAATAGCATTCTTTTACTAAAAGTAACGCTTTATCTAGTTCAATATCATAGTAATTCCTGTAATCTTAAGTTCCAGTAATCTATATTGAATGATTCAACAGTTTTAGCTAAGATTATGTGCGTAGACCTCCTCAAAATCTGATAAAAAAATGAACACACGATTTTATGTCACGAAATTAAATTCACACCAAATAATTACACATACCCGAATTTGAGAGGGACCTGGACATGGAACTGGCACCGGAACAGGGACTGGACACATTTCTCTATTAACGAAGAAATACATAATAAAGAAGAACGAATAGCAAAATGGCAAGAAAGAAATTAGTCTTCTTTCAAGTTTCAGTGGTAATTCTTGTTACTTACAAGTACACGATATTACGTTTTTCTGCAATAAATATTCCAGCAACACGAAGAATGCTAGCTAGATAGCTTATAAAATATCATTTCACTTAATAAAATTGATGATTCATTTCATCGAGTGTTTTGGAAAAAATTTTTGTTAATGAGGAAACTAATGTATCTCAGAGCTATGTAGAATAACCTTAGAGTTATTCTTTATGCTTTGATGCTCAACCAGTATAAGAAAAGGTTTTATAGGATGCGAAAATGTCTTGTCATCCACAACTCTACTATATCTGCAACACCCCGAAACATAATTAGACATTACCAAGAAAACTTAAAAAAAGACTTGTTTCTTTGTGTATTTTTTTACATTTACATTACTTACCGAACAGGTACAGGTACTGGACATAGTTGAGGAACTGGAACAGGAACTGGACATTGCTGAATTTGGGGTACAGGGACTGGAACTTGTACACATCGTTCAACCGGTACTGGTACAGGAACTGGACATGGTTGCGGGACTGGGTAAGGCTGAGGAACGGGAATACACTGCGGTTGCATCGACATATTTCCCATGCTTGGCATTGGCATTGGAGGACATATAGGCATGCTTGGCATTGGCAGACATGGATTTCCCCCAAAACTACCACCCATCCCGCCTAGTCCAACGCCCGGAAAACCTCCGCCCAGACCACCCATTCCTATTCCACTCATCCCACCTAGTCCACCACCCGAAAAACCTCCGCCCAGACCACCCATTCCTATTCCTCCCATTCCACCAGACGGAAAACCTCCAGCTAGACTACTCATTCCTAGTCCACCCATCCCACCACCCGAAAAACCTCCGCCCAGACCACCCATTCCTATTCCTCCCATTCCACCACCCGAAAAACCTCCGCCCAGACCACCCATTCCTATTCCTCCCATTCCACCAGACGGAAAACCTCCGGCTAGACTACTCATTCCTAGTCCACCCATCCCACCTCCAGGAAAACCTCCGCCCAGACCGCTCATTCCTATTCCACCACCCGGAAAACCTCCGCCCAGACCGCTCATTCCTATTCCACCACCCGGAAAACCTCCGCCCAGACCGCGCATTCCTATTCCACCACCCGGAGAACCTCCTCCCAGACCACCCATTCCTATTCCACCAACGCCACCGAAACTGCTATATCCGGGCATATTTCCTTGACTAAACTCATATGGATTCACTGATGCACCGTAGCCTGATAAACCTCCACTAGCACTTCCTCCGATTCCAGCGGCCTGAACTCCGAAACCGGTTGGAATAGCAGGGGGACCATATGCTTGGGGTTGAGTACCTCCCGCTTCAAAGCAAAAAGCGGGTCTAGGTTGTTGCATTTGTTGATTTACAGCAGGAACGTAAGGAGCCTGAATTTGAGGCTGAGGTGGATACATGTTTTGTGTGGCTCCACCGTACGCACTTTGAACATTTGCTGGATTGTACCCATAAGCTGCACCTTGTGACACTTGTCCTCCGTTTTGGTATTCGTTTTGGTATCTTTCATATCCAGTTTGTCCGTAACCAGCTGCACTTTGTCCAGCAAAACTACTTACAGCACCACCTATTGCACTCCCAGAATCGTAGAAATTACCGCCTGGTGCATGGTAGCCACCTGACTGACCATATCCAGCTCCCGTACTTCCATAGCCAGCTCCCGTACTTCCATATCCAGCTCCCGTACTTCCATATCCAGCTCCATAAGCACCACCACCAGCAATTGGCCCATTGAGGCCGCTTGAACTTCCATAATTATTTAAAGTTTCTTGTGCACCACTATGAGCACCAACGTAACCACTACTTCTTGGTGGTACTCGAATGACTTTTCTGACAACTTGTGGTGGGCCTGATTGTTCAACGACTGTTCGTTCTTGTATACGAGGAGGTGGAGTCATTGGTTCTTCGATTATTTCTTCGATTACCTCTCCAGGTTGGCGGCGAATATAGACTCTTTCTAAAACATCTGGCTCAGGTGTCGGTAAACGATGTCTCACTTGACGCACCGGTCCGGGTTGATCAGGTAATCGAATAGCTTGTCGTCTTATTCTACCTTGCCGTCGTCTTAAATACATATCTCCACTGTCAAAGGCTCCCGCTGATGATTGTCCACCCTGATAACCTGCCCCTGCATCGCTCCCGTAATACGATTGGGCATACGATGTTGCACCATTATGACCCGAAGAGTGACCTCCATAGGCTTGGTCATAGTAGCCTATGCCATTGCTAGCAGGATATGTACGATAATCATAGGAACTTGAACTGGACGTACTAGATGTTGTCTCGTTTCCTTTTATGTAATTCCGTTTTGAGTGGTGTCCCCCAGACTGATGATTGTAGGGGCCCATTATTTATATTTCCAATAAATATTTATAAGGGCAATTGAACTAAAAGTTAGACGGAGTTCAACAGCTACTAAGAAAACCTCTCCTTTTTTTCTTTCTGTCTAGGGTTTTGAAATTGAATACAAATCTACACTTACCAAAATACAATTTGCCTTAATCTATAGAATACAGTATAGTTTTAGAGAGTTGTATGTGTCTTCTCAATATTACCACAATATAACAATCATTCTAAACGCGGGAGAGTATAAGTACAAAAAACCAGGTGTAAAATAGAGAAGAAGAAAAATCGATGAGATGAAATGAAAAATGTCGATTTTAGATAACAAATAAAAAAACAGAAAAAAGTTGGTTCAGTTGTGCAACATTTATGCGTGCGAACGCACGGTTATGAGCAAAAAAGGGAAGACAAGCAATGGATGATGTCTATTAACAAAAATATTCGAGTTTGTCATATTTTCTTTTTTTCATTTAAATCTTTAAGAGCATATTTATTGAGCAAAGATATTGATGAAAGGTGACATGCCGTAGTTTTAGGGTATGATATTAAGGCTTTTTCAAATGACCACCATTGATAGGGGGAAAGAGAGAGAGCGAGAGAGCAGAAAAATACTTCCAAGATGAACAGGAAGAGAGAAAAGGAAAATCATACGTATTTTTTTGCTCATCATCGTCATCCAGTTACGATTTTGTGAATATTAGTTCATAGTTAAAAATGTAAAAAACTTTTACATCATACATATAGATGCGAATGCAACAATAATAATAAGAGAAAATAAAAATGACTAAACCATGATATCAAAAAGTGAACGGAGATCGGGGTTACGAGAGAGGAATAGAGAATGCGCACACTAATATAATGATAAAAAAGTGCTTCATACAATTATCGACATATATGTCTGAACTAGTTCGTTTCTTTGTTATATTTCTCAATGTATTGAAAAGATAGAGAATATCCACCACTAATCTAACCGTTTTTTCTTTTTAAAATGTACTAGATTTTACAACAAACTTGAATTGCTTACCTTATTGAATATGTAAATTGTGTATGTTTTGCAATAAATTAGATTATAATCTATAAGTTTCGTTTAGCTCCGTCTCCCTTCTCCGACTAAACTGGAAACTACTATTAAAGATGAAAGTATCATATTACCCTTTGATCGGTATTTATATACAAGTATTAAACGGAACAATGGCCCTGAACCTGCCTGTATAACTGAGCGACTCTTTTTCTCTCCTTCTCCACGATTCGTTTAGCTTTTTCCTTGGACAAAAAATTGGATAAAAAGATGATTACATCAAGAACAGTGAACAATGAACCTCGTCCTTAAATAGATAATATAACCGAGGTTTTTTCATGTTGTAAGAAATTAGTTGGTAGCCACTCATTATTTAAATACATTAAACAGCGAGCCTTGAAACAGACGCATGTAATTATGCTGAAATCGAAATCAGACCAATCGATTCGATTATGATGGATTTTTTTCTCCGTTTTTTTTAAACACATGTGCTATACAATGGAAATATTCTGTTTGATAACTTATTTAACCATATCTACTCTCACAGGGAAAAACAGTCACTTAGTGGACGAGATTTTGCGAAAAGGACTGCATTTCAACGGATTTATAATCAATGTGTATGCACACATAAGAAAAATAAATACAAAACAAATTAAGCTAGGAGTTGTCAATGGCAGAGTGAATGAGAAAGAATTTAATAACAGTTGGAAATATTTGCATCTATAACTCCTCCATCTTCTTTTCAAAGTCAGCTTACGAGGAAAAGAAAATCGTTACATCAATGAACATTGCTTTGCATGGTTCATTAGTAAGAATAATTAATTTCCTTTGTTCACAAGTTATTACTAATAATGTAAAACTGTTGACGGAGCTACACCATTTTTAAGTCAAAGGTAGTGTAACCCTGCTTCTGCAGCTTCAGAAACTCTTATATCAAACGTCAATTCAAGAAGAGCATAAGGATCGCCATAATCATATGTCAGTTTAGATATCAGAATAGTATCTCCAACTTGGTAATTAAAAAGAAATATAAAAAGGATCTTGCTGGATCTTATTCAAGTTTGTATTATTGATGAAACATTTTCTAACCAAATTTTAACCTTCATATATCGCTATCTCTATGCCTCCTTGATAAAAACGCTTTTAATGTAACAATCTTAATTGGATGTGTAGTGATCCAGGAAAAAAAGTGTGACTCGTCCTTCCATCTAGACCGCGGATAGCACCTTCATCATGGCTGCGAAATTACTGTTAAACGAATCAAACTAATGTAGTTGACATAGAAAGAATGTAATTATAAGTAAAATAGTCTATATTAACTACTGTTTCCAGTGATCGTATGATAAACGAGTATATATCTGAGTACGAAAACTCAATGAACATTGAAAGATAATGCGGTAGACGATTGGGACTATCATATTCATGCGGTATAACAAAGAAACCATGTCTTATGAAAATATTCTATGAGACAAAAAAATTTTTAAATTAATATCGTGAAAAACCACGACGAACATCTGCAATTCTCATGATTTAACCTGCATTAAATAGCAGTGACCCCTTACTTTTTTTTTAACGTTAGCATGTCATGATTTTATCTGTTATCTTTATGTATTCATTCTTTATCGCAAAGTGGAAGCTATTTTATGTTTGAATTAATCGAATGTGTCAGAAGTATCTGATATAAAAAGTTCTGGTATATAAGAATATTCTTTGTTCTATTTCTAAATGAGAACATTGCGGCGATAGTTTCACTTTTTAGACGAATAGTACCATGTTTCGAGCGACTGTGCCTTAATAAATGTGTTTAGAGTTAATAATTGTTCTAATAGAATTTTGCGCTACATAATAAAATTATTCTGACTTAATTCAAAAGATACAATCAAAATAATTTGCACCAATTCTATGAAGTAAATACAAAGCGGTTAACAGTCTATATTTGCGGTTTTTCTCGCGAATAACAAACACCTTTCAATGTCTCATCACCATATTTTGTCACTATCAAAAACATGCGTTTTTTACATTATATTTTGGCTTTCTACTATTGAAGGCGAGAAAAACGGAAAAAAAATCGGTATTTTGACATCCAGTGATTTACCTTTAACGAAAAACATGAATAAAACGCAAACAATTAAATCATTTCGAGGTTAACTATAAGTTACTATTTGTCCGAAAACACAAACGAGTAAACAATAGTGTAATCCTGTAGAACATTTTTGTACTAGTCATGCTTCGTTTAATTTAATTCTGACAATACGGTGCCTTAAAGCAGCTTCTTGGGATAAAAAACCACAATCGCCCTACAAATTACACGTAAGTAGAAAAAGCTTTTGCTTTATTCATATAAATAGCAACATCCGTAATCTTCTTTCTAGAATGTACTCGTATGCAACTGCCCAAGCCTATTCGGGCATTCAAATGCCAAGTAATGTTTTCAGTGGTTTTCCATCCTATGGAATAGGTCCACCCGTATCAAATGGATTTTTACCGTACGGAGGCCAAGGATTCAGTCCTTATTGTGACGTACCACTAGATTTCGGTAATCTGTATCAGTCTCGCCATTATCAACAAATCACTTATTTACCTGAGCCACCAGCGCAGATGCAAGTGATTAGAAAACGAATGCCTGATCCACCACCTGATGTCATTGAACGTGTCGTAGTTGTACCACAACCAAAATCGTATGTCTATCAAGTTGTTGAAGTTCCTACGAAACCGCCACCTGTCATTCAAGATCGTTATGTTCAAGGCCCCGCTAATCCTGTTTTATGTGGTGGCACTTTATCCGTGCAAGTACCTAGTCAAACAAATTTAGCTTACAGTAATGCAGATGGACGGGTTGGGATACCTGCGGCTAATTATTCGTCTTCATCACCGGTCGCTTTTGGTGATGGAGTAAGTTATGGGGGGGGTGGCGTAAGTTATGGGGGAAGTGGAGTCATGTATACAGGCAGTGGTATGCAACTAAACACAGGTAGTGGTATACCTGGCATGGGTTATCAGAGTGGACCAGTACAACTTATCAGAAGCATGTAGATAAACTCTTCACGTGTTACTTTTCTTAACAGTAATACAAAGTCATTCAAGCGTTCAAATAACTCACGTAAATAGAACGAACACCTATAATAAAGACTTTTGTTAAAACCTATCTGTGATTTTTTTCAAGCGCCAAAATTACAATAGAACTAAGCCTAAATTTAAGTTTAGACGATTAGTCGTCTATTAGAACATAAGCGCCAAAAATCGCTCAGTGTAATGCAACCACAAGCATAAGATTTTATCGCTTTTTTTCTTCATTTTCATGTTTTTCACTGTACACGTGTATTCATTATGATAAAAATTATTCAAAATTATATATAAGCAACAGAAGTTTTTAAATTTCAAATTCAATTCAATACATTTTCATCTCGAATCTGCTTCCTACAAGAAGCATATGTCAGGAAGACTAAAATCCATAAGAAATATGGAGCACGTGTCCAAACGAGTCATGGGCATGTGACGAATTTGTAAGGTTGTCATAACTTTTAATACAAAAAGAACATGTTTTGACCTGAGTATTTGTAATCCTTTTATTCAATTGCAAATTGCTCGTTTATCACCGAAAAGCAATAACGTGCGTCCCACCATCAGGAAGTGGATTTGAGTGTGATTGGGAACAGATTTTGTACACAAAGAAAAGTAGACAAATGTTTGGAAAAAGAAGAAACAGACGATAATATTAAAAAAGGAGGTATCGAATAATGACAACTCAATATTTAACACACGAGACGAACATTATATACAATTTTCGTCAAAGAAAAGAGTCAACTATATTTTGAAGAAAGTAGGTTTTATAGATTTCTCTTATCGGGAGTATCCAAACAATTTTGAAAATAGTATGAATTATTAACTTGAAGTACACGTATAGAGCAGCTGAGGTTTTTAAAAAATTATTCGTTACAACAGGTAAACCTAGAATATTGTTGAAGAAAATATGTGTATGAGAAATAAACAGAAAAAATACATTTCTTTTGATTAGCAGGAATGTATTTGTTGATCACACAATAAGAATTAATCGTAGATTTCAGATTACTTATTTGTCAAAAACAAATTAATTTTTATATACATACGATTTAGTATATCAAGCGCAGTACGTAGTTTCGTTTTTAAAATTACTAACTTGTTGTTGACAATGAATTGTTCTCGTTCGATTGTAAGAATTTGATAGTGATTTCGAACCTTTACCGTCGGTAATATCGACTTGGACATTCAGTGATTGTTTATATTCATCTATAACGAAATAAATATTAGAAAACATGTTAGCTGATACAGTAAAAAACTACGAAAATTGTATTTAGCCACAATATAAAAATAAAAGTTAGGAGTATCTCGTTCGTTTGGATTTTTGTCCTAATGAACGGTAGTATAAAGAGATCCAACAAGTGGCATAAGCAAGTTAGAGTAGTGTCAATATAGATCATACAATAGAAACACTCAACATGGTCTTCTGATCAAACAAAACATACATATCTTCTAAAAGTATAGGGTTAGCTAAATTTTGCTTTTGGACAAGAGCCTAACAAAGATAATACTGTGTTTATTCCACAATATCGCCTACCTTTCGTGTTGACATTCACTTGAACTGTGAGCCATAATCTTTGATGGAATTTTTCAAGAAAGCCAGACGGAATTTCGTATGGTCCAACCTAAAATAAAACACATTTTGCTTCTTGTTCAAATCACTACATCAGACATCAACCTACCAATCCTTTTGTGAAACTTTTAGAACGTATCACTGTAGGACCTGAAAAAGAAGAAAAAGAAAATGTTTAGATTACAACGGAATACTAGATTGTCTCTTACCAGCAATGCCAATTAAAATAGTGATTAATAGTAAAATAAAAAAAGCTACAAATACAGCGACAAATTGACGTTTATGTAATGAATAAAGTCTCATCTGAACAGATCTGTAAATGATAATAAGAACAAAAAAACTATCAACTTTCAGAGGAACAAATAGTACGAAACTCACCGTTCAATTTCTTTTGTTTCACCCATTTTGTTTCTTATAATTATGTCAATAGAAAAGAAAAATGTTTCAAATTAGACTTTAAACTAACGAACCAAAACAACGTGCATATATCTAAAATAAAAGTAATTTTAAATAATTTGTTGCAACTGCAATTGTTGAGACTTAGTTAAACTAGAATAGAATTATTATCCATTTCAAATAAAGATGCGGGTTACTGATGTTCATATAAGGCATGAACAAAAAGTAATCAAAAGTTTAAGTTTTTCACCATTTTGAAGCCAAAACTTTGACAAATCTTTTCATACAAAAAAGTCGTTTTAAAAGCAAATTTTTGAAAGATCTCTAGAACCAGATCATAGTTCAGTATGACTTCTTATATTGGTTTTCTTATGAGTGGAGAGTCAAAGGAAGTAAAACGAGACGTTGATTTCAACGGTTTAGGCGTGATATAGGATTTCCCGAAGGCCCAGAACTGATACTTAGTGACTTTTGGTATCTCGGGAATTCGAATAGAACATAAGTTATGTACCATACTGACTCTCGTAGCAATGTTTGTTTGTTGAAAATGTTTCCAAATCTTTTTCAACAAACATGGTTTTTGATAGAAATTATACTTTAGGCTATTTTCACTGAATATTATAGTTATATTCTGTATAGCAAACAGAAAAGAAGGTCAAAATTGAGTTTAGTGTCACAAAAGTTTTGCACAGAACCTTCCAAATATCCAGCATATAGAAACGACTTCTTTATATTTTTCTCATAATTACCATGCGGAACAACTGAGTTAGGTGTGCTTTAAAATTGTGAGATAGTTTGGATCGATTTGTGTTTTCTATAATTCTTGTAAGATGTAATAAAACAAAAGAATCAGAAGAATAGCAAAATGAATTTGCTCTTATTTCTATATTCATACTAAATAAGAAACAAGACGAGATCGTAAGATGTAAAATGACAGCAATATTCATCTCTATAGACTAAATATGTTTTACTTCTAACCGAGTTTTTGCAAATACATACTGATTTGCGCTATATTTGAACTCATTTCCGTGGCATTTCCAGGCACGACACTCACGCGCAAAGACGGTTCACTCAAGCTACTTACAACCCGCGTACTTTTACTTATTTTGCGATTGTCGTTCAGTTATCTACAGTTATCTAAGAAAACTCAATAGTACATCAATGCGACGAAATGTCGTTCGACGAAAAATCTTTCGATGAAAAGTCCTTGCGATGAAAAATCGTTCGATGAAATGTCATCGATGAAACGTCGTTGAAAATACTTTTGACGATTTGTCGTAGACTCCTTTAGCGTCATGCTCGGAACTGTCTCTGCGCGTCCGTGTCGTGCGCTGTGACGTTGTACGCCAAAAAGTTGGCGCGGACATGTCAGTCAATCAACATATTCATAAGTACTGGCATTTTTATTACTCTGAAGTATTCACCTGATAGTCCTTGTTTGACATCAACAGAAATGCAATACAACTCATATAGTAAATATACTGCAGTGTAAAATATAATTAGAATCCACAGATAATAACCTAAAAGATTTTCATGTTCAAACATCCCCAGATTCAAGAGAAAGATGGGATCTTCAAAAAGCAAAGTTATAAAAAAATGATAAAAATTAAGCAAAAAACCACTTATATTACTTTTTTTGTAGGTAACTAAATGTGTTGTGCCAATTATCACATGAGAATGATAAAATATAATAAAATGTAACTAATATCCATTTCAAAATATAACGCCCTCAGATGTTTCTTGAATAAGTTCTGAACGAAAAGAGGTAGAAACTAGGATTTTCAGTAATTGATATAGGACACCGGAGTATAATTCTGTGGAAAAATGCGATTTACCCTGGTGTAAATTTCAACCGAAAATCATTTTCATTGTGAGACGTGGATTCGATTCAGAGAACTGTAGATAACTGAACGACAATCGCAAAATAAGTAAAAGTACGCGGGTTGTAAGTAGCTTGAGTG